GATATTTTTGCCAGTCCCCCTGAGACCCATTGTATGCACACAGCTTTTGCAGTTCATCTTAGTTCTGACCAAAGAGAAGGAAAACACAGGCAGAGTTATTTCCTTCATGTAAAACCTCAGAGCCTACCCCAACATATGCAGGCACAGTTTCAGTCATATTCCCAAGATGGACATGGAATTCAAGGAACTGTACCAGAGAGACTGCAGATAAACGAGGAATTTGGACATGAAGCAGCAGGAAGATAAGCAAGAATTGCATAAGTACAAAAAATTGTGTGGATTCATCCTACCATGTTCTGATAACCTGAATTCAATTCTGCTATTCTTCTCTTTTGCTAATCTGATATGCTTTTAGACTATGCTAGTCTAGTATACTTTTGCCAGTATAACCCATTAGCTACCAGGGGTTTTCAGAAGAGCTTTCAGGTGTGAAGAAAGAGGAGAGAGTTGCAATCTGTGGTGTGAGTTAATATAAATTCCATGGGGCACATTTAAACAAGGTGGCCTTTCCCTGAGACTGACCAAGATGGAATCTGTGTTTGTGCTTCCTCACAGAAAGTTTTTGGCAATTTTTTTTTTGAAGCAGTGATTGTTGACTATGATGTGACTAAGGGAGTAGCTGAAGTGACACAGCATTGCATGGCTACCATGATTTCTGGATTTGGGTAGTTTTGGGAATATAATAGCTAACCTAACTTCCAAGGTGGTGCTGCTATTTACTCTGTATATTCCTTTCCTGTAAGAGAGTTTTTTGCCTTGTTAATATTTGGATTGTCTTTGAAATATTCAGTATCCTTTCTCCCTCTCTCTTCTGCTTTCCCTCCCCACCTCTCACCCCCAACATGGATTTTACAGGGGAAAAAATCCAAACAATGGCAGCTAGAGAAGGGAGAGCTGAAGAATATGAAGAAATTGCTGCACCTTTGCCCGGAAGCATTCTGCAATTCTGGGAAGATTTCAGATATCATATTATTTTATCCTGGTTAGGAACAGGCAAACTGCCAACTTGAAAGTTCAGAGAAGGCATTAGCTCCTATATTTGACTTTAGTCCATTTGAGCAACATAAATATGGATCAAAACCAGGTAATCAAAAAAGAAAAAAAAAACAAACCAAAAGCTCAAACCCAAACAAAACCCACCACCACCAACAAAAAAGCCCTCATGATTTCCCTGTTCTGGATACCTAATACTTTTATGGTAAGGTTTTGACTTGGGTCTTATCTTGTCCAAACTGGTACACGATCCCACATAAGAGGCAATGCAGATAACAGTGGGGTGTCTCATTGCCAGTACCTCACTCCCAGCTGCAGACACACTGGTCAGCAGCAGAACATGTAAAAGGGAAGGAGCAGACTCCAGCACACCTCCACTCACTTGGCCGGTGTGTAGCAGGATGGGGTATGTGGGGTTATTGCACAGCACCAGCTGGAAGCCAAATGAGCAATTAATGATCACACAACATTTTGAAGCTGTAGAATGGAATTTATTGCCCAAAGTAGCACTTCGGAGTGGGAAATAATCTTCGGATTCTGTGCGTTCATTGACCTTTCTGGGAACTATTTTCCAAACTAAAAAAATAATGAAGGGAAAGTTGTTTACAGAGACATTAGCTGTAGCAGAGGTGCTCTGTAAGACCAGAAGGGTCACTCTCTGCATGTGCATTCTGTTCTGGAATAAAAGCATACTTTGTGAAGGAATTCGCCTTTAAAGGGCTGCCTGCCTAAGTGCTCTTCTGGAATAGCTCTTGTGGAATAATGCAGTTTTCAAAAGCAGTGCCAGCCGGTTCCTCAATATAGACAAAGCCTCAGGGCTCCCAGGATTAGACTTTTGGTACTCATGTAAATTGCTTGATGTCTCAAATGGGGACCCTGCGAGCACTCCTGTGGTGTGCTGATGATTGCTGAGGGCTGTGGGGTTTGTTGCTTGGTTTCCTGACTTGGCTAAGAAACAGCTTGAAAAAAGTGCCCTTAACCTCCCACAGACGAAGGGTGGGTAAGTTTTCACAAACACCTTGAAACAGGCTGAGAATGTTGCTTCCATCCCTTCTGCCATTTCAAACCCACACAAGGGGTGGCCAGGAACTCCTCCTGCTCACAGGAATCCGCGGATGTCTCCTTGACATGCAGTCCCGTACTGACTGTGCTACCAGAGGCAAGCTAAAACGGGTAATTGCTTTCCACATACTGCCTCCAAGAAGACTGCAGATGTCTCAAAGTGTTCATATACTAAAAAGCACCTTTTCCATCCTTTTAAAATGGCAGATTAAGTCATGTGTGTGACTCAGCCTCATTTTCTTGTCCTGTGACTTCAGGCAAGTCACTTCTCTTCCAGCTCTCTGACGGGTTTTGAGCATCCAATCCAAAAACGCCGTGTGCCTTGTTTAGGAAGATGCGTGAGTGGCACCCTGGAAAAACAAAGGCAGAACGTGTTGAATTGAATATCCTGCTAATCAATGCCATTCCATGTTTTTCACTAAGGCTGCCTTTCCCAACTGTAAAACAAGGGCGATGCAATATTCCTTAGAGAGAGAGCGAGTATATATTTCTTAAATCACAGATGATGAAGTGATTAAAGACAGTGGTTAAAATGTATTTCAGCGCGGGACGGGGCTGAGGGGAGGGACGGCCCCCATTCCTGCCAGGAGCCCGTGCCCTCCCTCGCGGCCCCGCCCCTCGGTGCCGGCGGGAAAGCGGCGGGTCGGTGCCCTCAGGAGGAGGAGGGCGAGAGGCTGTGGGGAGTTCGGAGCCTTCGGCCTGGGTACTGTACCTACCCGCTCCCGGAGCTGCCCGGGCGTGAGCTGGGGTTTCGTTATTGTTGTAATTTTCGTGGGGAATTACGGTGCTCGGCGGGAGAGGGAAATTCTGCGGTGCCTCACCCTTTGGGAACAGAAATGTACATCCTACGCGAAGGCAGCTGGCAAGGAAAAAAACCAAATAAATCCGTGTGTTGATAGGCGATTAATCACTTATTTTCCTCTGAGTCAACAGATGTGAGATCACACACACCGTGGTGCCCCTTGGGGCAGGTCAGATCGCCTCCTGCCCCTGGCCCAGGGGGTCGAGCTCTGCTCCAGCCATTTTCTGTCAGTCCAAAAACCCAAGGGGAACTGCTGGGAACTGCTGTCACACCCGCAGCCTGGAAGGGGTGCAGCATCCAGGTCTTCATCACCACTCTTGGGCACCTGAGGTGGCACAAGATTGATGGTGTTTCTTCATAGATTTGCTCTTTTGTCTCAGACTTTTACCCTTTTATCTACTACGTGTCAGGCTGTGGTGACTGAAATCCTTCAGGTGCGCCAACACACCAGCAGCAGGAGGACCCTCCACTGAGCAGGAGGATTTTGTTCATACCTAAATTTTCTAGTGGGGTGAGGTATAATTTCTCTGTTTCCCCTTGTAGCCTGCAGGAGGGCACAGGTCTGGGTCTGCCTTGTTTTTCTGCTGTGAGATGCCAATTGCCTCAGGATGGGGAGTAGGAGAACGATTCCGTGACCTGCTGAGTGTTATTGAAGTGCAGGATTATGTGCATTTCAGGAGGATGTTTCTAATGAAGAAGGGGATTGTAATATAGTTTTAATACCTTTTGCATTACTTGTTTTTCTTCCTTCAGTATTTGAAGGATTTTTAAAAATCTCTTATTTTTTAATTAATGTTTTACTGTACTTATGCAAAGGCATGGTTTGTCATTCCGTAATTGTCAGTGTTCTGAAACAGAAATGAAATATAACCTGACACTATCAGATACAACTGATTTTATAAGAATATTTCCATTAAATATTAACAGAAGATAATACTAAAATTCTGATATTTCTCCCTTTCCAAGCCTCTGTATACAGAAGATTCTTGCAAGCAAATTAGGCAGACCTTAAATATCCATTTAGAAGCTAAAAAAAAGGCTCTTTGCAGATATTTAGCCTAAACTATCCTGACCTCTGTTAGACTCCCAAATCTTACAGTTAGAAAGGATGAGCAAGTAAATATATACACATATCTTTATGAGATGGTTTACAAAACTTTTGATCAGCCATAGATAGAGCAGCAAAGGTAAACTCACAATTAAAACAGAAGCAACTTGCCCATTTACAAAAGAAAAAAAATGATTACAGGTTATAAGGTCATATTTCTAGGGAACTACTTTGTATTTATTTTTCTTGCATTCATACAATTTAAGGAGGTCATATTTTGCTTCTTGTTTAGCCATGCTATCACTAAGGGCCTGTTCCCCTTCTAGGCCTTGCTTATAGGAAGTCACATAGAGAGGGCAGTGAAACAGTGGTGAAGCAGAGACATGGCAAGTTAAGCATGAAAAAACTTGACATGAGCTCTCTGTACATGGTTTTGCATAGTAAAAGCCTCAGATTTTTATTACCCTTCCTTTATTCGTTTTATGCAAGCATACTCCTTACAGGCATTACTTGCATGTCTTCAGCATTTATTGGTCATTCTGAACCTCGGCAAGAACTTCAAAACAAATAGAGCTTTAATAGCCTACTCTCAAGATATATCACTAAGGAGTTGTAGCCTTAGTAGCACTGTTTTGTGGGTTTTCTTTCACATAAAGATGGGGAAGCTGAGCTGTTGCACAGCCTTTCCATTAACCATTCTGTCTGTAGCTATGCTTACTTTTGCTATAAATATACAGACTGCCTTTAGCATTCTTACCAGAATAAATTCCAATAATGATAAATCATTTTAAATGTTTCCCACTTCCAAAAACTCATCTCTGACCCAAGATTCTCACATGGGAATGAGATCTCTTTTACTAATACTTGTGAAGCTCCTTTCTAGCCAAACTGGTTCATCTTAGAGTGAAGCAGTAGATTTTCTCCTTTTGGTCTGATATATCAGATAATGAAGATTTGGAAGCAGAATCCAAGTTTAAATCCATATATGATGACATACTGACAAGTTTCTGTAGTTCAAGGATTTCTTAAAAGTACTTTTACAATCATTTACTCATTTATTGCCTCCCCAAAACTGTCTTTGTTTGCATTTCCCAGCAGTGATCAATACTTTCTTGCCTGCTCTTTCACAATGAAGGCCATGGAGGATCAAGTAGTCCAAGAAGAACCAGGATACCAGGATGATGAGGTAAATTTAAGGTTGGTTGGAAAATATGAGCAGCAGATGTTGTTTGAAAGTAATTTGATAGTGTTAAGAAATCAGTGGAGAGACAGGAGATCCCCAAAGACCATCAGGGAGTTCAATGTGTTTAAAATTTTGCTCTAATCTATTACCAAGAAAATCTCATTCTCTTAGTCCCTGTACAACCTGGCTCTTCAAGTACTCTTCGTTAACCTTTCAAAAGCTATGCACAATTTTTAATGAGATTATCGTTATTTCTTTATATTTTGTGCTTCTCTATTAAATGCAAGGGGATATCAGTTAATCTTATGCTTCCAAGGAATGGTCATCGCCATGAAAAGACTGAGAAACTGTGGCAGAAAAGCTCTAGATGATGATGATGACAACACAAGTTTTATTAGCATAGCAGAGGATTAATTGCCTGTGAAGTCACACTTTATGGAGAAGGTGATAGGAAATATTAAGGCCTTTTTGGCTCGCTATGGCTTTGCCTATTTCAGTTGCCCAAGAAGTTAAGTATTATTGAGGAAAATCAACAGAAGTTTACAAATTTGAAACAGACACATAATGAGATACACATAATAACAAGAAAATAACAAGAAAAACAAAAATCTATTTTTTTCCTGCTATTTTTTTTTAGGAATCCTTTTTTCAGGATATTGACCTTCTACAGAAGCATGGAATTGTAAGTATTAGCAATCACTTGACCACACAGAGTTGTGTATGTAAAGATGTTGTAAGGTTATTTCCAAAACTGTATGCACATTGATGCAAGTAGCTGAAATTCCTCCTTGCAGTACATTCTAACTCAGTCATGTGGAGACAAATTTTGCCTCTGGTTATAAGACAAATTTTTAGAAAATCTCGTTCACATCAGATTCCTAAATAAAGTGGCAAGACACTCAAACTATTTATCACCTAGCACTCTTGAAAAACCAACTGCTTGCTAATTTATTTGAAAACTGTGTGATAGATTATTTCCTGTTCCTGCCAATCTTTGTAATTACTCCTGTATTTCTGGTGCCTGTGAGATTACACTGTGACAATTGTCGCTATACTATTTTCAGCATGCTGGTGAAGGGGGGAGAGTAGGAGTGAGGAGAATATTAGTAGCTAGAGAAATAAGTGGTTTTCTTCATCAAATATGAATTCCTATCATTGTTATCATTATCATAATTATCACATAAACATCACCTATTTATTTGAATTACTATTATATGTTTATCTAGGAGTCTGGCTCATGGATTGGAATCCTATTATATTCAGTTATAGGAGCAGAATAAAAGGTTGGGTTTGCCTGAAGTAACATAAGATTTAACTCTAATTTAAATGACTACAGGCAAATACAGATGGGAAGGACACAGACAGAATGAGTCATCATTAGTCAGCACTATAGCTACTGGGCTGAGCATGTCAGCAGTGTAATTGTTGACAACTTTTTTTATTGGCAGTTTTAGAGTTCTGAAGAAGGATCACACGATTGGGAGCTCTAACTATGGGGCCACACAGGAAAAATACACAAATTATTGTGTTAAAAATTTAACAAGTTGATCAAAGAGGCTGACCTGAGCTGGAAGGGAGCTGTACTAGCCTGTCAGTATTAAATAAGGCACAGCATTCACATAATGATATGAATGTGTGAAAGATCTTGAAAATAAAGGTTAATGACTTAGGCTGTTTTTCTTGTTTAACAGGGCTATTCTGCTCCTTTTCATTTTTTTCTTTCTTCCAAGTGGGTATTCTCACACCTCAGGGGAAGGTTTTGTTCTCAGCTGTGCCAGTTAAAAGCTTTGTGTGAACATATGATGACCCATATCTGCTAAATTAATTTACTTCAAGAAATAATTTTTGTGGTTTTAGATTTTTTTTTCCTGAGGAGTAGAGAGAAAAATATTTACTAGATCTGACATGTAGCCACAAAGAGAGTCAGAATAGCACAACCGAGGTTGTGGTTCGATGATCAAAGGTGTTTGGTTGGAATTAAGGTGCTGTGACCCCTCAGCCTTTGCTGAGTGTCATACACATATCACAGGATGAGAAATAAGCTTCCAAATGAACATGACTGATTTCTCACACAACCCCCTCCCTTCCTATGCTCCATGCACTCCCACACTCTAGATAAATAGATGATATGTCCAGTTCATAGTTTTTTTCAAAGGAAAATCTTGGCCAGAAATGGTAAATTGATGTATTATCCCACACCTTTCACACAGTGTGTTTTCTTGTGAGTAGGCTGTTTGTGCTTTTAAATTCCCAGTGATGTCAACATCATAAAATGAGGTGAGAGGAGGCAAAATGTGTCAGTAGGGTGCTGTCTGAAGTTGTGCTGTTCCCAATTTATGAAAAACTCCAGTAGCTCGTTCCATCCCAAGGTATCACTTAGATCTGGAAGATACATGTGTTTTAAACTGGACATAACTGTGAACATGCAAAAACAGCACAGCATTTAGACTCAGCTTCCAGTGATCCTCGTGTATTGGCTCCCAACTGTCCACCCTCAGATCATATGGTTTACAGATTATCTGTGCTAAGGGACCAAGGGCAGACTGAGTGTTATAGGGTTTCCTAGGATGGGCTCCATGCTATCTGTAATAATCCATCCTGTTTCTTTACTACCAGCTTGGATCTAGAAAAACTGACACTGAACAAGGACAAGTAAATACAACTGGACCCAGACACCTTTCTCTCAAAACCACCAGGAGCTGCTCTCTGCACCATGATCCCTCACACCAATCTTACTCAAAATTTTCTTTTGTTGGTGTCACAAACTACACAATGGAGAGTTTACTGTGTAAATCTGTTTATTTTTCGGTGAAAACCCACATGCATATGAATGTATAGTACAGTATGTTTCAAATTGTTAACTGTCTGAATACTCACAGAAGGGAAATTTCTTTACAGAACGTAGCAGATATCAAAAAGCTGAAGTCAGTTGGGATCTGCACAATCAAAGGAATCCAGATGACCACGAGACGGGCGCTGTGCAATGTAAAAGGGCTTTCAGAGGCCAAAGTGGACAAGATTAAAGAAGCTGCAAACAAGCTTATTGTAAGTCACTTCCCTGAGAGTTTAAACCTATGTTGGCCTCTCCAAAATGCTGTGCAACATTTCTCTTAACAGATTTTCCACCACATCATTAAGATAATTTTGAAAATTATTCTGTTTGTTACTCTAAAGGGATAATACTTTATACTCCACAACAACCAGATAGTATTTTTCATACCTTACCTGTGTGAATGAGGCTAGAGCGGAGAGAAGATATTTATATGGGATATTGCACTATAACTTCAGGATAAAGCTAAAATAAACCTCTCATGTTGTCTTTGGTCTTCCTTAGGAGCCAGGCTTCCTGACTGCCTTTGAGTACAGTGAAAAACGGAAGATGGTATTTCATATTTCTACTGGCAGCCAGGAATTCGAGTAAGCTTACCTCTAAAATCCTTCCTTCATCCAAATGTTTCCAATGATTATATTTATCGTCCTCAATGAGACACAGAAATATAAGGGAATAAATACTCACATAGGACAAGTAGGTCCCCTTGCATTTGGAGCTAGTGCTGGCTCAAAGATTCCTGCATCAGTAAGCAACAAGGCAAACTCCTTTTCTGAGGGGAAACTGAACTTTGTACAGTCACTGTAAATAAACATCAAGAGTTTGCATCCAAAAATCCTGAATGTATCATCATTTTTTTTACCTAGTCAAAACAACCTGCAGGTCTCAGGTCAAACTTACAAGTGTTCAAGATCTCCCTTGAGATATTTATCTTTTCAAATGTTATTTTTTCCTCTTCTTTCTTTCCAGTTACAATTTCTACAGATCTTTCTCTTACACATAAAAGGAGAAGTTAAGACAGAGTTAATTCTTTATGAATCAGGGATCATTTAGTGCCCTGCACTTAATGCAGCAAGTGAGGGGCTTTAGGGCAAAAATTACTTTTCTTAAAGTAGCAAAAATGTATCTTTTTTTACTTTCCTCTTCTGATTTTGTGGGTTTAACTATATCATAATCCTCTCCCTTTCTCCAGTAAACTTCTGGGTGGTGGGATTGAAAGCATGGCAATCACTGAGGCCTTTGGAGGTGAGAGAACCACATTAAATGAGTGTTACTGAACAAAGACCTGAAACTTAATTTAGATTTTAATTCATAAAAAATTGATTATTTCTATCAAATTTACCATGTCGTACTCACAAAGATGAGGACCTGCATGAGTGCAAGAAGAAAGAATCCACTTCTCTTAGTGTTTTCTCATTTTCCCTCTTCATTTGCTTGCAGACTAAGTTTGAGCTGAGTAATCATTAGACTTGGGGCATATCATTATTAACACTATTACTAAGGTGTCAAAGTTCTGATGCAAAATGTTCCTTTCCAGTAACACAACTGCCACAAAAGGTATGCACGCTTAGTGTACATTGTATTTCATGTAAGATTCTGAAATTACAATTAAGCTACTATTATAGTACACTTGATTAGTTTGTGCTTAACACTTCAACAACAACAAGAAGAGTTCATAAAACACAGCACTCTTCCCTTTAGAAAAGATAAACTGGAGACTAACATGATTTGATGTAGTGAGATGATAAACTTGTAAACTTCTCCTTGATCATTTTACTGAAAATGAAACTGGCCCAGGTCAATGGAATCAACCATTTCTTACCCCACCTGTCCTCAGTTAACACTTTACCACAGGTGCCATGTGGTTTTAACTTCTGCACACAAGGGAATAAATGACCTTAGCAATCTAGTGTGATAAAATTAAAGCATTTCAGATTTTGCTTTTCATGTGACACATTTCTCTTGCACAGAATATGATTTATAAATTGAGGTTAAATGATTTAAAAAGATAGAGATAGAAGTGAGTTTTGTAAGTAAGAGTGTTCCTAACTGCAGTAATGCCTGAATCTGGCAAACTTGGAAAAAGAGACCTTGACTTTTTTTTCCCCTTTTCTTTATTTAACAGAGTTTCGGACAGGCAAAACCCAGCTATCTCACACTCTTTGTGGTAGGTGTAATGCCTTAAAAGAGACATGTTTCTTCTCAGTGAACCCATTCTTTACCCCTATGTCAGAATTAAACACATAGAGACAACTCAGAATCTTTTATGTCCAGAAATACAGTGTAACAGACCTTGGTGACTCTTACCTCCATTAGCTGTGTTTGAGTAGAGAACTCATAAATGTTTACTTTTTAATACTGCTCACATCCATGTAAATTTTGCCATAAGGAGAGAGATGATAATAGACTGCCTTAGATAAACCAGTATAACACACCATCTGGAAAAGCAGAGCACAAATATGGGTCACATGTAGATGGGGGGCATTGCTCAGAAAAGGGCAAAGGCAAAGATTCTATCTCAGTATCTCTTTTACTTTCCTGGTTTCCAGAGGTTTTGCTGAATATGACATTCTGGAAGGGCACTGAGGGGATACTACTGGCTGTCTGTAACTGGATAAACAAATACTTTGGCAGTTGCAGTATTCGGGCAGTGCCAAATACAGCAGGACTCTGATTTCCCAGAGATATCTCTCGATGTGGAAATAGTAGTAAAAAATAACTAATATAACTATTAATGCTGCTGGAATTACCAGACACTGCGTAGGCAAATTCCCTTAAATGAATGTAGGGTTCATTGTATAGTGAAATATGGCATGTTCTGGAAAAATAAGGCCTCTTCTAGTTAGTACAGTCTAATGGCCAGCAGAGTCATACCCTTTTGCATGAATGATTACAACTGGATTCAACATTTTAGCTTATTCACTCTAAAGAGATTAAACCCACAATCAATAACTGTTCATGTATCAGGAAAAATTCATACCCAAAGAATTTTTGATCAGATGAGTTACAGCTGGAAAAAACCCTACTAAAACAATACAATCAATTTGGGCAGAGAATTAAGACAATGCCTTGTGTATAGGAACTTATTAATAATATCCTTAAAAGATACAGATTTAGTTAGGGTACTCAGTAAAACACAGTTTTGATAGCATTTATTAAATCTCATCTGATCTCCAGTTGAGAAAAGGGGCTTGAGTTTATACTCAAGATGGCAGTAAAACTTGAGATACTCCTCATTTCCACATTGATTAAAACTGGTGGTTCTTTGTGATATGAATAAGCAGTTGTATTTTATTTTAAAAAATAATAATAGAAGGAGCAAGAAAATATTTTCCCCACTTTTTCATGTTGATCTTCTATGATTCTCTGCAGTAACAGCTCAGCTCCCGGGACCAAATGGCTACACAGGTGGAAAGATTATCTTCATTGATACTGAAAACACTTTGTATCTTTTTGACTCTTAAGCTACAGATATGATGAACTTGAGAGACAGTTTATTTTATTATATGGAAGCAGGAGTCTCCTGATAGCTTCATATATGTAAAAAATTATGACTGGCACAGAAATCCTGAAGAGCACAGTGTGTAGTGGCCCACAAGGAAGTGACTTTTTCCTCTGTCATTTGATGTAATTCAACCTGGAAAAATTAGAGTTAGGATTCAGATTTTATTTTAAATAACTTTTGCTTGTGTGTGGGTTTTTTTGGTTTTGGTTTGTTTGCTTGGGGTTTTTTGGTTTTGGTTTTTTTTTGTTTTGGTTTTGCTTTTGGTGGTTTTTTTGTTTGTTTTTTTTGATTGGTTGGGGGTTTTTGTTTTGTTTTTGGGTTTTTTTGTGTTTTTTGGTTTTGTTTTTTGAGGTTTTTGTTTTGTTTTGTTGGGTTTTGTTTTTTGGGTTGGGGGTTTTTTGGTGATTTTTTTTTAAGATCTAATAGGCCTCCTACGGGTGATAGCAGCTTTTCTGTTCAAGATAAATTTATCTAAGTACTAAACACTATTTTTAACACTTCACATCTGCGATAGACTGTGTATAAACAGGTTTTGCTCACAGCTAAATTCCTAGAGCACAGATATTCATGTGCCAGCCCCCCCGCCTCAAACCTTAAACACAAAACAATTATCATCGTGAGCCTTAAACTATCTTTAGGGTACGTGGGACAGCATGAAGAGAAAAAGTCAGTCTTCTCTAGGATTGAAATAAGTATTCTTCTTTCCCACCCCATCCCACCCCGAATTCTATTTTGGAATGGAGTTTTATTATTTTCAGGGCCTGGTTTGTATAAAGAGAAATCCTTAACTCTGACTAATGTCAGCCGACCAGACCGTCTCCGTGACATTGCCGATCGCTTCAGCGTTGACCACGAGGCAGTACTTGACAATGTGCTGTATGCACGTGCATATACTAGTAAGAACAGTATTGAAACTGGCATGATATTTGTGTTTTTTCTCCGAGGTACCCATTTTAATATTCTCATTTTATCTACAGCTCCAACACACTGTGTCACAAGACACTGCTTTAAAACTTAAGAAAGTTTTAAATGGGACTTTTACTTTGAGAGTGCAATACAAATACGATGAAAACAATTTCTGTGTGTCATTTAATTCAACATTAAGTTGAACTGTTTATATTGCTTTTCAGTTTCTTAACACGAGAAAAAAAGTTTTCTTCTTGCATACTTTCATTGTGAAGCTTTTCACAAAGAAGTGTTGTGAGATGGGCAAGTGGAAACTGGAGCCTGCAGAAGCACAGGCACTGTTGGGTATTGTAGATTGTTACTGGGCACTGGATTTAAAACTGCTGGCAGTGAAAATATAAACAGTGCAAACATTTAAAGTGGGATTTTAAAATTCAGGCTTTTGTTCCTTCAGAGCTCCTTCTGGTCCTAATTTCACTTGGCAACTCTACTTCCCACCAGGTGAACATCAGATGGAATTGCTTGACTATGTAGCAGCCAAGTTCCATGAGGAAGCTGGTATCTTCAAGCTATTGGTACAAGACTTTTTGGTTTTGTATGCTTACTGTTTCAGAATAAGTTTTCCTATTTTCTTTCACTATATTTACTTATCTAGCATAATTACAATGCAGATCATTGACTCCATAATGGCACTTTTCCGTGTGGATTTCAGCGGTCGTGGAGAGTTGGCTGAACGACAACAGAAACTAGCTCAGATGCTGTCAAGGCTCCAAAAAATATCAGAAGGTTGGTAGCACAACCACCTAGTAGTCCAAGTGTATTATCAATCAGGCACTGGCCCAGGAATCTTTCCTCACTTTACACCTCTGTCTGTTACCAAAAAGATCAAACTGAAAATATATTAATTCAAGATGACAGATTGAGAAAACTTTAGAACTCTTCAGCATTTAGAGTTTTTCTAGAAATGCTGTCAGATCCTAAATGAGAGAATACGTTGTCGATCTGGACAAATATCCAGTAAGAGAAATTGTCTTCCCCAAATTTCTACAGTCTAAATACAAAAGAAACACAAAGAATAGAAAAAAGGATGAAGGCACAGAGAGATAAAAAAGCCCATCACCGCTTTCCTAGGACTTTGCAATGCTCTGAGGGATGATGACAGGATGTTGATGAGGAATGAGTAAATGCTTTTTTTCTGTGCAGTAAAAAAAAAGGCAAACAGAGAAAGGGAGGGAGAAGGGGCTGAGGGCAGGGTGCCAAGAGAGAAGATGGGAACTGAGAAAGACTTGTTCACTGGAATTCTGAAAAGTGCTCATTTTTGGTGTACCTCAGCTGAAGCCATGCAGGAGCAAATTCAAGTTGACTCCTGATTAACTGCAGCCATCAGCCATAAAGAATATTTGCTGCTCGTTCATTTGAAATGTGAAGTGCTTCAGCAGCAGCCCTGCTTTTACTGTGGATGGGAGAATATTTTGGCATTCTAATTGGATGTAGTCTACCTTCTTTCCATTGTTTTCCATTGCAGAATATAACGTGGCCGTGTTTGTGACCAACCAGATGACTGCTGACCCAGGAGCAACTATGACGTAAGAGAATTCTTCTCTCTCTTTTTAAAAACTTTCTCCTATTTTGTAATACGTATTTAAGAGAGAACTGAGACTGTATAGAGCAAGTGGCACTGAAATGGAGGTTCAGATTTTTTTATTGGTTCCTGTGGTATGAGGAATCGTTCATGGATGACACCTCTAAGTTTCTCTCAGTTTTTGTAATGTTTTTTACGTTTATCTGCTGCCTGGTATGACGGTATGATTTCACTGTGACTTGAATGAAGACAACGAGCTACAAAAAGTATTGAAAAAGCATCCCATTTTCCTTTGGAAGACCTTATATATGATGTTTAAATTGTGCATTTCTTGAGCCTCTTGAATTTAATGAGAGGCAAATGATGCCAGCACTGACCATCTGAACATCCTATCTTGAGGCAAGTGTGCTAAAGTATTTTTTTAATATATTGACCTATTTATCATTTATTACTGAGTTGAATAGGCCTTGTCTGACAGTTAATCACAGTATTAACCTCTGGAATTTGCACAGTGAATCGCTGCCATTTTCTTGCTAATTCAGCTTTCAGGCAGACCCAAAAAAGCCCATTGGGGGCCACATCCTTGCTCATGCTTCGACTACCAGGATCAGTTTGAGGAAAGGGAGAGGGGAGCTGCGTATTGCAAAGATATATGACAGGTAAATGACCTTTCCCTCACAGCAAGGAAACTGCATTATGAGCAACTGTAAAGTGACCAAGTTCAAGGTACTGAAACTTTCTGCATGGTAAATTGGGAGAAAATCTGAAAGGACAAACTAATTAACAGATTAAACAACTAATTAAAGTTGTCTTGCATATTACATACATTAAATTACGTGATCTTTCATTATAAATCCTACTAAGATGCTCGGCTCTTAAAGAAGACCATCCAATAGTTTGGTAGGAGTCGTGCTCCAGAGCTGTGAAATTACTGTTTTCCTGACATAATTATTTCACTTTTTCGGATCGTGCTGATATTGATCACGTTTGCACATAGGTATAAAGGCACTGAAGTGTTCCAGGTCACTTACACCTACAACATTTTGGGGACTGTTTCACAACTGCATTTAATATGGAGAAACCCACAAGTTTCTTGGTTGTTTTTTTCTCCAGCCCTGAGATGCCTGAAAATGAAGCTACATTTGCAATAACCACGGGAGGGATTGGGGATGCCAAAGAATAGGTAAAAAACAATGTAAATGTACTGCTGGGCAAGTTGGGATGAAGATTTGTGCATGGCCACAACTGCCTGGCTTCACTTCTAGCTTTTGAGAACTATTTGAGATATTTTGGGAGAACACTGGGATGAACTCTGTACAGTTCAGTTTTACTGAATTTGGTTCATTTAAGGTCTTTGTTTTTCAACTGAACTTTCAGCAGACAATGATTCAAGAAATAAGCTTGTGAATTGTTCTCAGAATCCTTTTCCTATGTTTTGTGAAAATCAAAGCTGTTCTTTCACATGAGATTAAATATACTCTTTCTTAGTTTATTTCAAAGAGAATGTCTAAGTCATAGAATTTAATGGAGTGAAATGAAGAAGAATTGGAATAAACTCAGTTATGAAATTACCATAAATAGGTGGAAAAGGCAGTGGGAGGAGCAACAGCCCAAGAACTTGATGGATTCTCATGTACTGCAGAAGAACAAGTAATTTTAAAAATATGTTTTTAGGCATTTTTATCTTGACTATTTTTATCTTGATAATGCTTACATTTTTATTTAGCAGTTTTTACTTTTTGAAGAGAATGTTTTAAAACTGTTCTTATTAAAGTTAAAAATAAAGACTGAATTAGAACAGAGGTCTGATTATGTTTGGGTGCTTTGAATTAAACCCTTCTCTCAATAATTCTGTTGATCTTTCATGAGAGAAATAATCCGGGTGCAACCCAACATTTTAAACCTATTGTCTAGTTCTCTAACGGGACAAACTTTACATAATTGGCTTGTCATTCTTCTAACAGAAGTAAGAATACCAAAGATTACTAATAATTATTGTTATCATCATCATTATTAAAAGGAATAAAACAATCCCAGTGGCTACATAGGAGAGAGAGGCACTGGCACTGTCGCTTACACTGAGGGAAAGGCATTTAGGATTCAGTTTGCTGAGGGAGCACAGCTCAAAACTAGCCAGAGGTGTGGGTCATGGGGTACAAAAGAAGAAGCTGGGAATAACGAGAGAAACAGGGCACTGGGGGACAAAATAATAATTCAGTTTGCAATACCTCTGATGCTCATGGAATGGCTTGTTTTAAAATAAACTCAATAATTTATGTATTTATAAGGGAAGGTCTTACTCTGTCCTCTGGTAATGAGAATGGTTTAACTTTGGCCTCTAACTTTGGTCAGGGAGTTTGTTCTCACTGGCACAAGAATTTTTTTCATTTAGATTAACAAATGCCTGTAGAATAACATGAAGTAAAAAGGCAGTGATGACCAGAAACTCCTCCAAGAGAAGCCTGATGCTGTAGCCAGGCTTTTCCTTGTGAAAGACCTGGAGGGCTTGCCTTCCTTAAGTGGTTTCTTTACAGAGAGCTGGTATTCTTGACGTAAAGCACAATTTTTCAGTGGAGAAAAGTCTAGAGAGACAAAGGCAGGAAGGCTGGCTGATCTGTGAGAGCCAGGAATGGATCGGCTATTGTCATTTAATGCAATGTCTAGTCCTTTGCATGTGTCATTCCCACACCAGGCATTCACATCCAGTGGCCAAGTACCAGGTGTCAGTGAGAGTGCGCAGTGTCACTTGACTCCCTCCCACCTAGAAAGGCCCAAGTTTCTGTCAATACTTTATTTTAGGCACCAAGATTGCTTTTTGCTTTCTCACGCGTGCCATACATACATACATACATACAGCACATAAAACTAAAATGGTAGTTCGTGTGCTGTTCCAGCCTGTTACTTTTATTCAAGGGTCTGGAACTAAAGGGGACTCACTTTCTCTTCTGCCAGTACAGCCGGTTTTTGATAACCTGACGGCCCAGTAAGCACCAGTGATAGTGCAGCCGCCGTTTGAGCCGGGGCTGGGTCTGGCTGCTGTGACCCCATCGCCCACCCAGCACGGCCCCTGGGGCCAGGACATGCTGACCTGCCCCTTGGCGATATTACAGGCACGGCACAAAAGAACTCATGGCCTGGGCCACGTAATCGCCTCACGGATTATTCTTTCATTCGGCGAGGAGTCCCTGGTTGATCTGGGGAGTTCTCTCCCGGCCTGCTGGTGCTCTGGCGACACCAAACATCATGGCCGCTGTCACTCTGCTCCTGCCCCAGCTCCGCGCCAAGATTCCCCTACTAATCTAATATGGAAAAACCTAGACACGCCAGAGCCGCCACGGAGGCCTGAGGGGCCGCTCCCGCCCCGCCGCCCCTCGCCCCATTATTGTCCCTCCATTGTGTCCCCAGCCCCGCCGCCACCTCGGCGGGGCCTGCGAGCGCGTAGGCGACAGGTCGTATTCTTCAAACCCGCTGCGCAATCAGCGTAGCCCTCCGGCTGTGCCTGTGCGCTCCGCGAAAGAATGTTACACCAAGCGCACGGGCTCTTCCCGCCCTACGCTGGCCTGAGTTACGCACCTGGCGTACGCCGTCCGCTTACGTAACGTGCGCCCCGGCCCAGGTTTTGCCTGCCGAGCCGAAGGCGTTACGGAGCGCGCTCCTTGCGCAGTAGACTTTGGGGAATAGCGTTTCTCTCCTTCTCCCGCCCGCCTTCCTCACGCGGAGCACCGGCTCTAAGTGAAGAACTCCACGCACCTTTCGTAGCCCGCCTGCTGCTGCGCGGGGCGGTGTTTCGCCGCGCGCGCTTCGTGCGTAGCTGGCTTCCGTGAATAGGCGTAGGCGTCTCGGAGCGCCGCGGTTTGCGCAGCGCCGCGCCGCCCGTAGCGTAAGCGGAGCGGGCCGGGGCGGCGGCGGCCATTTTGTGCCGGGAGCGCGGAGGAAGAAGACGCTGGTGTCTCCACACCGCCCGGGCCCTGGAGCCGACCGAGAGCCCCGCCGTCCCGGCCGCTGACGCCCAGCGGGTCTCGGACCCACTGACCACCTCTTCTCCTTTTGTGTCCCACCAAAGAGGCGAGGTGGCGCAAAGCGAGTCCTCCGAGGCGCAGCCGCCCCTGGCTGGACCCTCTCCCCGTACCCCCAGCCCCTCGCCGTCCCCACGGCCGGCGTTCCGCTGCCTCTCGCCCACCCCTCCGGGGGCGATGAGAGGCTTCGGGGACCGGGGCCGCGACCGAGACCGCGGCGGGTAAGGGGGGGGTTCGTCACGGCCGGGAGGCGATGGGGGGAGCTGAACCACCGCGTTGGGGGCCTGGGGAAGGCGGAAGGCCGGAGAGAGGGGCGTGCGCTGTAATAGCGGTTTTGGGAGAGCGAAAATCCCATTTGTTGGGATTTTCCCCCACGAATTCTCGTGTGGGGGTGGGGGGAGCTGGAGACTGAGCTGACAACAACGTGGGGTGGTGGGCTTTGAGGTGGGCTTTTAAAATTTTTTACTTAGCTTTTCTGTCGTTCGTATGTAATTGTGAGCCTTGCTTGCAATTTTAAGGCCTGCATCCACAACCCCCCGCCCCCAATTATTTGCTGCCAGCCCTGCGACCCCCGTGCCCCCCCTCCGCAAGCTACGAAGGTCTTGGTGTTCCTATCAGGGTTGGTTGGTTCCTCTGCCCTTCGGGTTGTCATTGCTCCTTCTGGACTTTCTGGAAAAATGGCATTGGGGGGAAGATCTCTCTCAGCTGCGCTCCGAGGCTTATCGTGAGAGGAAGTGGGATTGGAAACTGCTGCCATGCGGGGGACCTCGATACTGGGGATCACACTTGCCAAGCTTATGTAGCACAACAGGGATTGTTCGTGTGGCACTGTAGAGACCCTAGTATCTTGAATGTATTATTTAAGGGAAGTTTGGCTTGGAAAAGGCTTTTACAGGTTTGATTTGATGTGATTTCTTGTTTCTGAGAATGACAGCGATAAATAAATACAGTGGCATTATACTACATAACTGGATTGAGGCTCGAGTTTTTTAAGAGCTGAAAGTAATAAGGCATTTGTGCCAGGCCTTTTTAAAGAGAAAGTTAGAAATAATTTTGGAAAGTGGCATTTTCTGTCCTTCAGATCACGAGTAGTTAGGCCTCGGTTCTCAAGGATTAGCAATAAACGTATCATGCGGGTTCTGTTATTCTTAATATGGCAGACTAGATCTCAGTTAATAAGTCTTCTCTCGGTTTTTTTTTCTTTTTTTTTCCCCACTTCCTTCTCTTCTTGTTTTCCCTCTCCACAGAGGGATTAAAGAATATTTTGCTGCATGTTGCAATGCACTTTAACATTTAGTTTCTGGTCGTCTGTGAAGGGAGATAGTTATATCATTGCTTTATCTTACACCCACATTTCACGTTCTGAAATTAAAAGATACTTTCATTTTTTTTTTCCACAGAGAGGAGGGTTCTGGTGTTTTTCCGCTATGAGATTTCCAGCTCAGTTTAACACAAGGACATTGGAGTAAGCGCTTTGGCAAGTCTGAGATAGGTCAGACCCCAGCTGTTTTTGGAGTTTAGTCAGTGAGTTTGAGTATGCAGATTTATTTACAGTTACTTAAAAGAATACTGGCCAAAGTGTTGACACGAAACTTGATGTACCTTAAAATTAGTGTAGCCTCAGTTTATGTAAAGTCTTTGATTATAGTGGATGCTTCTCTTTGATCAGGGGCTTTGCATGAGTAAAAGGAGTGCCTACATGCTTTTTTGTGAAGGTTTTGGGCATTTGCAAGAAAAATCTTTTTTTTTTGGCATATTATCCTGGAGGTTTTAATGCATTGGAATTCAATTTGTTGTGTATGTCCTTTTAAGGTGTGAAAATATTTGTAACCGCTAATAACCATCATACTTCATAAATAAGCTGTATAAAATTTCAGGCCACCCAGTGTGCTGGTTCAACACCATTTGAAAGTTTATCACCAGTTGTTTTGTAGGCTAATCAAATACAAGTTTCTGGTTTCTTCTTGTCAGGAACAAGTTGTAGGTGACTACTTAGGATGAAAAATTACAATGTTTTGCTCTGGAATGTATCAAATTTAATCGGTTCTGTCCCAGAAATGATGGCATCAGTAATATGTCAGAAGAATGTTTTGAGCCAGATGGAATTTACACTTTAAAGAGAGATGTTGGCAAATCGGGGTAATATTCCTGGATTCAAATCAGTTTACTTGGAATTGGAATCTCATTTTACTTGTAGTCAATGTAAAGTGTCAGTTACTGCCAGTTCAGTAGATAAACCTCAGCAGGCAGGTTCAAGGGCTGCTGTAGGGCTCATGTCTTTCAGGACAGTCTCTGGGCATATTGTGTATAAGAATGGAAAACTGAAACTATGTGACTTCAGTGCAAAATACATCGGTTTTTCCCTCTGGATAGCTGCGGGACAAATACAGTACCAGCTGTTCCAGTGTCCAGTCTTGCAATCAGCCCTGTCATATGTTTCCTTTCATAGGGGAGCTCACTGACCCTTTGAACCTCCACTGGACTTCAGTGAGACTGTGGGTTTTGTAGGGACTACTTGGATACAGAAATAGTTGCCATTTTGACCAGTTAGCAAATAAGGGATATTTCTATGAAATGGAAGATTCTTAATGTGCAGTTGCAACAGGGCAAGCATTTTAAAACTTAGTAGGTTTTAAGTTAGATTATATCTACCATACTTAGCTTTTTCAACAATTTAACCCCTTCTTTCTGTTAAAATGTCAATTTGAGTTCTGTTTTCTTGGTCTCTTAGTCACTATAATTTGTGGTTTCCATTGGGAAGTGATTTAAAGAACAAATGCCCTTAATGTTTGAGGGGGTAGACTTGTACTTAAGATAATTCAGATCTTGTTTATTTTTTAGCAACTCTTCCTCCCCTTCCCCCACAAGTTATTCCTGTAAGAAGGTTGCTTTGGGGTTTTCGTTGCTTTCAGTTTGTTTCATTAACAGTTTTTTATTTACTAGTGGACTACCTGGGAAAGATGCAGACACTTTGGATTTGCTGTCTAAATAAGAGTTGTTTCAAATATGCATGTCTCATGAATTCATGTTTAGCAGAAACCTATAGCTTTAGGACAAAATTTGACCTGATAACATTTGGAAAAGTACCTTCTGCTGAGTTTGTATGATACTAATAGAAAAGTGTAACTGTTTTTTTTTTTTTTGGTGGAATTTTAAAATATAA